TTGCTTTCTGAGTCATGAAGAACGGAGGCTTTTCTTAGCTGGTTTTTGACCTGGTTTGCTTCGCTTTGTCGCCATTTTCCCCACTGTATATATCCCATTTCCGTGCTAGCATTTCGTGCCTAGTACCAGATTATCGTGCCATGTGCCTCATACCGCTGGCTGTACTGTTACCACCTCTGTTTGTTGTTTGGCGCAGTCCGCGAGCCGAGCCTCACTCCAAATTCCGAACCCTGCTTATCGAAACAGGCTTGCTCAGCGGTGATGGTTTACGCTATTCCGACAGTAGACTTTGCAATTTTGAGCTAAAGGCAAAGGCACGGTGTCTGAGGCGGGCTGCTGCCAACATCATTGGTGGAAGAGCTGAGTGGGACGTGGCCAGCCCTTCCACAAATGACGTTGGCAGTAATGACCCGCCCCCTGCCGCCGTACCTTTTGCCTTTATTCACTCTATCGCTCAATGATGCTAGTTATCTTGCCTATACCCTCACCAGTGCACGTCCTAGCGTTTGGGAGGTTTTTTTTTAAAGTACGACTCCTCTCCCCCCCCCCCCAAAGTTCCTTCCCCGGTACGACCTTATGCTACCCTACGCTCATACCAGAAACTCCCAAACATTTTGCCGTTGTAGAGAAGGTGGGGAAGGGTGGACTTCTCCGGTCAACAAACGAAAGCACTTTAGCAGCACTGCCGATCAAGGGTGGGACCTATTGTGCGTGTGACAACAAAAAGTAGTCCAAAAAACGGAAATTGCGCAGGATAGGTTACGCGACCGCCCTTCCTTCTCCTGCTCTCAGCGACGCAAATTACAACTCCCCGTTGGGTGGTCCTCAGACGACTGTGTGGTTTGACTTCCAAATCAGATCCCTAAACGCAGCTAATAGACCGTGACGGTTTCCTTCGATTTGCAGACAACAACGAACATGGAGAGAATCGACAGGTAAATCGTAAGAAACCATCGCTCGTCCTGGGTTCTTCGGCGTACATTCGAATGAGCTGATAAAAAAACAAAATCGGTAACTGCGGTAGTGATCCTTTGGAAATTGAATCTGTCCTAGTGGGCCGCTGGTCAGGTTCGTTCACGCGCTTCCACAGGAACTGCGAGATATACGACCATCCAAGCACTGTCTGGGACTTTCGAGACTTGGCCCAAAGATCAGCCTTCGTGTGGCAAAATTCGGTACGCGAACTGCGGCGCTAAATAGCAGTTGTCATAACAAAACAACCAGACGAGGTTCCTCGTTTGCCTTTCCGTGAAAACAAATTAAAACTGCTTCCCCATCATAAATAGAGTTTAAGCTGAGTTTTCTGACCAGGAAGGTCATCAGGTCAGCCCGGCCATTTCCAATGAGCTGCACACCGTTGTACGCGTCTTGGGACGGTGAACTCAGAACTGTCTTCAAAATTTGCAGAACGATTCTCTGAACGGAGTTATGGAGGGTTTTATCCCGCACGGTCGTTTCACATGCTATCGCGAGGAAACGTGGAAGCGTCTTCACATTTACGTATGGAGTCGTTCTGAAACGTGGCAGCAGAGCGCAACGGATAGCGAGAGGGTTTACTAGGCGGGACGTCGTAGGGTCGGTTTCCCGGCAGGGTGCCTTGTTTTGCTTTTGTCCAAGAACATGGCCGACAAAGCTTCTAACATCTCTGCTCGCCTGCACTATCCTGTAAGGAAACTGCGACCACTTTTTTTTGAAAGTGTAGACCCATTATGGCCTGAAAGAGTGCTCGTGCTTGCCCCCCGTAGCACATTTCATAAGGATTTTTGCAATGAAATACCATCATAATCATGCTCCTACTCGGTTTAAATTACCCCTGGCCTGACAAACTTTCTCGCCGACATTGCTGATATTCGACTCACTTGGAAATACATGCGGGCTTTCCAATGGGTAATGAATGCAGTCAGATTTGCCGCTTACCTACCATCGATGACTGATCTCGAATGGGATTTCCTCCCGATAGTCAGAAAATGATGCAGACGGCACAAATAAGTAAGCCAGGTACTGTTGTGTGCGGTGAATATATGACATGATTGATGAGTTTCAGCTGCGAGACTCAGTTCGTTCATACACAGTAGCTAGCCGTAGTATCGCTGTCGGCTAACTATCAGTCATCCATGACCTCCATACCACATTTTTTCGAAGTTGAGTCAGAAGCTCGGATTTTGCTAAGGTGACGTCTCTAGGGGTTATTTGACCCCCTTAACACGAATACGATATCTGTTTTGCGCGAAGAGCGCTGTGAGTCGCGCTACTCGCGCTACATGTGCCAACGCTTCGGCGCCAGCGCGCCCGTAAGAAGAAAAACAGTAAAGAAAAACCTCCATAACTCCGCTCAGAGAATCGTTCTGCAAATTTTGAAGACAGTTCTGAGTTCACCGTGTCAAGATGAGTACAGTGATGTGCATCTCATTGCAAATGGCCAGGCTGACCTGTTGACTTTCCTGGTAAGAATATTACTATCACTCACAGAAACCATGGGAAATATAAAAGGCGAACATTGCCACATGAATTTGCTTGCTTCCAGCGGCTTGACTGGCTGTCAGTCGTCCAAATGAATTGTTGAGTGTCGGTAGAGTACGAGTGAACTTTGCCACCAGTACATTGCATATAGTCCCAGGAAATGCTACCTGAAATTTGGGGTTGGTTTCCTAAATTGAAAATTCAAGCTGTGTACGCACACGCAATGTTTTTTCTGCTTCAGAGATTCCGCGGGCCGGGCTTGAGGGTAAGCGATAACCCAGTATGTTTCGCCGTAGCCCACGGCTGGCTGCATGATCGGCCGCACGCGACACTATAACGCGAATGCGCTTTTTTTCTTTGCCCGCTTCCCACTTCTTACTGTTCTGTTCGCTTTTGACCGCATGTGACTTCACCGCTTATCTAACTATAAATCCGCGAGCGGGTGTACAAGTTTGTCTTTGAAGGCAGTTTTGGCACGATGGTTTCCGCTCGACGCTAAATGCTAGTAGGGCGCTGTATAGTGGGGAAATGACGAAAGAACGGAGTGAAACGGTTCAAATCTGGCGAAGAAAATAGCCTCCGTTTTCAGTGACTTGAAAATCGACTTCGGTCGAAGTTCGCCTATAGGCATCCTTACCAATCACCGCTACGAAGATACGGCTGCATATGTGTACCCATGTATGCATGCAGCATCACGGCCGCTTCATACCAATCCCTTCGCTTCATAATTTGCTCAGCAAATGAATGAATACGAGCGTCAGAAACGGTCGTCCATTTGTGGGCGGGCGAGGAAGGCGTTTGGGACGGAATGTTGTTGCTCGATAGGGCGCGCCTTATACGGGGTACCCTGCCTTGAAAAGGAGCCATGGAGGCGCCTGTCGGAGGTCACGCGGGATTCTGTTAGCGTTCCAGTGCATAAATCTACATCTGTGTAGCGATTTATCCCTGCAACTGCTTAAAGGCAATCTGGTCTCCCTGAATGTGTTTTTGTTGAGTCTATGGCAAGTGATTGGCGCAGAGCTGCGTCGAAGACACACACAATTCACTCCACAAAATGACCTAAGGAATTGTATAGGCACATCGTTTCTGAAAAGATTGGGAGTGGTTAACGAGTGGGTAATGATGACGCATTAGAAGGGTTCAATTCGACAAGTGAGTGAACACATGGTTCCCATGTGGTGGCGAAGTATGGCGGCATCTTCAACGTGATTGGATACTGCTTATTCAGTAGGGAAGTCAGTATTTCGTAATGTAATGAAAATGAAAACAATTTTGTTTACCGTAAATATAATGACAGCGGCGATTTGGCGCTCACGATCCGATCCTGCTTGCTCTCCGAATTCCATGGCCAATGTTGCTCTGGGCATCCCCTAATGAGGCAGAATGTACGTAAAATTAGGTGATACGGGTGAATGCAGTGAACGGATTTTTTCGGCTTTCGGATTTCAAAAATTCTACATAGTGAAGATCACGTTGTCATGCACGCACACTATGTCAAGAGAGATAAAGAAAAGAGCCGTCATAACTATGTAGCAGAGAGGTGATGGAGCTGTAACAGGCTATTACTATACTGTCAATATTACAGTACATCTGGCAGGGGCGTGTTCGCAAAGCTATTTATTTAAGCACGCTCGCGTATCATGAAAAAGTTTGTCTCGTTAAGGGAAGAGATGACACAGAAATTCAATTTCGAGGGCTCCTCTACATCTATAGCTTCATTTATTGCGATTCGACAACAAGAATTGAGATGTGGAAAGCCTTCTTGCCGGTTTCCGACCTCAAAGTTCAAATGTACTCTCCCACTTGTGTTGAATTCCGAAGATCTGACGGAGGCAATGTGGTGAATGCCGCTATAGTCACGAGTTGGCCTTTTATTTCTTCGGCTGAGGAAGCTTTTGTCTACATTTTTCGAAAGAATAGTCGTTGTATCGGCCTTTCCGTGTTAATCAGACTAGGCTCATGAGCTAACAATTTACGTGCAGTTCCCTCGATTCGTTCGCAGTACTTCACAGATAGAACGGTCTCGCCCAGATCCGTGAAGCTTTAATGAACTAGGCCGGCTGCCGACAACAAAACCCATCAATATAACTTACTTTGCAGTTTGCTTCGGCTTGAGGCAATGTTGAAGAGCTTGGTTCTCTTCTAGCCACTGACTATCGTCGCCGGTTCTCTTGCGTAATCCGGTTCTCATCTTACTCAAGAATGCGATCTAGGAAGAGGTCGTTTCTGCTGCGTAAAAGCAGCGCAGAGGAGACTTCGAGACCAAGAACCTTCTGGTCGTGGATTCGATGCGTGCCGCACTCACTTATGTAACTTTTCTGGCTTTACGATCTATAGGGTGTAGGACAAGCCGTCCTGCTTGGAACATGAAGTCTCGAGGCACGTCCTTCAAATTTGTAGGCGGACTCTCTTTGACAAATGCCCTCAAATGTTCGTTGGAACATTCCATCGCTGGTAAGAAATTTCGGCACTATTTACCCTTTACTGCCCCAATTTCCGAAAACAGGCCAGTTTTCAACCGACTTTTTACTGCGTTGGCAGAATTGGCTAAAAATTTGTTCCCTGGGGTAGTTTGACCTCCTGAACATGAATATCACATCCGCTCGGCACGAAACTCCTGGCGCCCGCGCCACAGGCGCCGGCGCCAAAATACCTAATCACCAAATTTGCTGAAAACTTGTTCCCAGGGGTAGTCTGACCTCCTGAACACGAATATCACATCCGCTTAGCCCGAAACCTCCTGGCGCCCGCGCTACAGGCGCTGGCGCCAAAATACCCCGAACCACCGGCGCCTGTGGCGCGGGCGCCAGGAAGTTTCGGGCTAAGCGAATGTGATATTCGTATTCAGGGGGTCAAACTACCCCAGGAGACAACATTTGAGCCAAATCTGTGCACGGAGAAAAAAGTCGGTCAAAATCTGGTTCATCTATCGACTAGCGGTAGTTGGGGAAAGCAGGTAAAGTGGGTGAATAGTGGAGAAATTTCTAGTCTTAACACGCATCCAATACTGCGCGTTACATCGTGACTTCGTTCTCGGAATCAAATAGCTGAATTGATATCTAACAGTTTTCGAAGCTTTTTTTGACTTACCCAGCGTAAGCATACCAGTAGGGTTGAGTAAAACTTGTGAGGACCTGTCGTTTGCTCTGTTAGTTTTGACCATTGATAGGCAACAAAAACCACTCCAGAACAAAATTCATCAACCTGTTGAGCAGAGCAAAAAAATGCGCTTCAAAACACCATATCAGAATGTGATAGCCACATCTTAGAAAATAACAAAGACAACAACATTCGAAATTGTGGCACCAAAAGCCGCAATTTTTCTTTACGACCCCAGCCCTTGTACAGTTGTAGTCTCGCTTCCCATTTCTGTCCGGAAAAATAACGTCGTCATGGTAGTAGTGCTTTGTAGCGTATGAGGAAAATTTTGTACAGTCCAATGTACAGTCCAATGTTTGTAACTTCCGCGATATTTATGTATGGGTGTGGTACAAAATCTACTGTCCTTAGGGATTCGGAATTCAGCTGTGTCAGGTGGTATTAACTCCGAGATCAGGGTAGCAGAGACTAGGCGTTTGGACGACGACATCACTTACCACAGCTCCACCTCCACTTTGTCATAACAAGATTATTTCTAGCATTCATGATCAACTTTCAATGAACCTTAGCATTGTATGAGGTCTTCTTGAAACGCGAATCCTACTCCCACAGATGGTGGTTGATGGGGTTCAAGTATATGAAAGAGAAGTGCTGGGTAACCGATAAGTTGGAGAAGAAGCATAAAAAACCGTCTGAAATGCCCATCATGGTTCCCCATGCCGATCGCAACTTTTGCGTGCATACAGTGAAGAGAAGGCGTGTTTGTACGGATTTCCTTTCGTTGTTATGATTACGATATCAGCTCTTTTATCTTATCATCGAAATCTCACCAT